AAATCACGCTTACCTTGTCTTTCAAACAGCCAACTTGCTAGCCGGTATCGACCACGGCTTTGCCCAAGCTGTACATGGCCACTGCTCTGGGCCACAGATGGCGTGTTGCTCCTACCGCAAACAATCTCCACGTGCCCCCAAACAGCGCTAAAACTTTTTTCCACACCCACAGTAAAGCCGCTGCAGCAAACGAGGCGGCTAGGCCCCGCACATTCAGACTCCTACAGGAATGGGGGGCATGTCAGCGTCCTCACCCCATGGACAGACCGCTCGGCTGTGGGACTGGCGGATCAGAGCCCGGCCGCGACGTGAAACCCCGCACGCGGAGGGCAGCCTGCGAGGCGGCTCGAAGGCGAAGCCTCCCGCACTCGGCTCTCGGGCGCTTCTACTACCACGCCGCTGTTACGCCGCGCGCTCCAGATTCCAGGCAAGAACAGTTACATTTCAAACAACGCCCTATCCTCGCCTCCCACCCCCGTGCGAGACCAGTGATCCTAACTCACCCGAACAAAGCCGACGGCTACGCTCCCAACATCGCAGCCGTTTCCTCAACCGCCTCTCCTTTCGCAGCCTCCTAGAACAAACGCACACACGCACACACACATACACAGAGATCGGAGAAGGGGGAAGCGTCCTCCCTTAGTAGCCTCATTCACCAGACAGTAAGGAACTGCAGTACGTGATAAGGCGTTTGCGAAACGTAAAAACCCCTCTTAAAAACCCGCAGGCCGAGGCCACCCGCGGTGATCCGAAGACATCGCCTGCTCCCCCAACGCCGGCCCCTCTGACTCACTCCCGGTGCAAGGCTTCCTTAACAGGATAAGGCATTCCCCCCTCTTGCAAACACACGGGAGAAGCGGGAGCGCGTGCTCCGTATCGGGAAGCTCCCCCCTTCCCCCCTCCCGTTCCTCCGCGTTCCAAACGAGCAGGGCCCGAACTCACCCCAGTAAAGGAGCCGCGACGGGGCTGCTACAGCTCCGCGGCGCTCTAGGTAGCAGGCTGGTGGGCGGGGCTGGAAGACCCGGCGAAATCAGAGAGGCGGTACAGCCAGAGTGGCCACCAGAAGGAAGTAGGTCGCCATAGTTACCGGCTTAAGCCGTAGCTCCCCCTCCCCCTCTTCTTCAAAGCGGTGGGGGGGGCAGGGAGAAGGCGCCTGCTTCCTGCGAGGATGCTGGCTCGGGCCAGGTGTTCTTCCTCCTCGGCTGAAAGGGCAGAATGTTGCAACGCGTGTGCGCGACTGGCAGGGAGCAAGCGCGCCTTGGCCTCGTGCAGCTGCTAACCCTCAAAGGACGTCGGGGCTCCGGCGCCTGTTCACGGCTTTGACGGGCGAGTTTGGTTAACCCTTACGGCCAGCGCTTGCCGTTTTGCTTTTTGCTCCAACCTGAGGTTTAGAGGTCATCTTTTGTCGCCCCCAGTCAGTACTTCCAGGCGTGCTGAAATTATGGGAGCTGAAATCCAGCACATTCAGAGGGCATCAGGTGAGCTGAGGTAGACGGTAGGGTAGAGGGAGTAAAAGTGAAGCCTTTCTTGCATCCAGCACAATTTCTGGTGATTATGTGGGCACATCCGTGTTGTTTTCTTGGCAAACAGTGGTTTGGGATTGATGCCTTTGGTTGATTTTTTTAAAAAAAATGTCTCAGTCTACACGACAGCCCTGGAAAATCTTGGTGGTCTCCCATTCAAGCCGTAACCAGATTCTAAGCTAAGGTGGCTGTACTTAAGTTTCCTAGCAAGGTCAGCTAGGTGTTTCCATTGGAGTGGACTGTGTAAGTTGAATCTCAGTTCCACCACAAATGCTTTCAGTCAGCTTGCCAGCTTAACCCTGATGTTTAGGGAAACCAGTGTACATACCATACCCCCTCAGAGAGTTTATCCTGAGACACAGCCAAAAAGTTTTAGTGGTTCTCCAACAGTAATGATAGCAAGGAGAGTTTTTTGCAGAACTTTTAGCTCCTCCTGTGTCACTATCAAAATACAGGGAAATGATGGGAAGTCAAGAAGCCCCTAAAGGAAGGACTTGCCAAATCCACAGTTAACACAGGAAGATTTGGGGTAAAAAGACTGTTCCTTGAGTCTGGTTTCACATGGGAGTGAGTCAGTGTGTGGAACTAAATGCCTCTGCCTCTCCAGGCCTTAGTCAGCTGAAAATGTGACCATGAATATAAGGGTTTCCTCTTGTCTCAGTTTACTTTGAAAGCTGCCCCTCTGACGTAATGTGTCTTGATTAGAAGGTGTAATTCTTATTTCTATTGAAAGAAACATTTTAAATCCCTCAATTATATATCATAATATTACTTAAATTCATTTTTCTTTTTATTGTGTATATTATAAGAATATAAAAGACTAAGTATTCCCCACTACCATCTCCATGAAGGTAAAAACTGTTACATTTGATGCTCAGCAGGAGTATAATCAGTAACACAACTTGACAACACTATAATTAAATCATTCCAAACTTAACAAGCTAGGACCTGACTCAATCATACAACAGCAATTTGCTCATAATAGGAATGTGTTCACCCTTTCCTGCACATCTGAAGTGCTTGCTTAAGCAGATTTCTGAGAGGAAGTTCCAGAATCAAGGCAGATAAAATCCTACCTTCAAATCTGAATGCAATGTGTTCTAATTAAATTAAGTTCATATATCAGATCTCATTCCTTTTTCTTTTGGAAAAAAACCCCATTCAATAAATTGCTTGTGTAGAACAGGATTAATCATTTTATTCTTTAAACATCTAGATTTCAGAGGTAGACAGTGCCTTTTTAAAATCTACCTTAAAGTTTATTTTGAATAGGTCCCAAAGTGGGGGGGGGATAATTAATGGGGGGAAGAGCTGAGATAGATGATAGGTTAGATGTGAAAAGTGTGAATTGGTTCCTGGATTCTTATCATGTAGGAAGGGAGAAAGCAAGCATATTTTGATTGTGACATATCATAGAAGATATGGTGGGAGGTGTTGGGTAGGCTGTTACAGGGGAAGGGAGGCTAGAAATCTGCTATTGGTCCCCACTTCTGGCCCAGATGTCCCACTCCTGGGTCAAAGTGATAAGATTGTTGGTGACCCTAGCCTCAACCCTGTTGATAGTGAACATCAAGTATGTCTGCAATATGACTGTATTTATCCATGATTTGACCATGGATGAGTAAACAGACCTGGCATGCATTACCAAACTTGGTGGGGTGAGGGAGGCAATGTAGCCCTTTGCAAGATTTGTCCCTCTAGGTTTCAGTTTTTTCAAGAGCTTTGATTCCAAGGATGGGCAGTGGGATAGCAATGGTTGTGACAGACTACCTGTGACCAGGGTCTCCTGGAATGGAGGAATAACAGGGTATGAATGCCTGTGTGTTAAGTTTGGCAACAGGGACAAGTTAGGAGTCCTGCTTATATACCAGCTGTCTAGCAGGATCTCTTTCTGAACCTTTGGACCTTGTTGCCAGGCTTGAGGCAAAAGTTTCCTCAACTTCTTGTGCTGGGGGACTTCAACACCTATGCCTTGAGCTGGGTTCAGGGAGGATGCAGGAATTCATGGCCTTTATGACAACCTTGGCCTAGTCCCAAGTCATATCTGACCCAATACACTCAGGTGGGCATAAGATAGACCCTGGAAGATGTTGGAATTAGTCCTTTGACACAACCAGATCACTTCCTAGTCCAGATGTGATGTTGTTATCTGGGATCCCCTGCAGGACAGCTAGACTTATTAAAATCATTCATCCCAGGCATTTAATGGATCCCCATGAATGCTTGGGGAGTTTCTCAAATTGATAAGGATTCCTGTTCAGAGTCTGGTTGCTGTCTGGAATTGTGAAGTACCAAGGCTCTTGACCTGATTACTTCTTAACAGCCTTTTGCTCTTAAGGATCCTGGGGAGTTCCTGGTTTACTGAGGACTTGTGGAAGAAGTACTGACAGAAAAGACACTTGGAGTACTGGTAGAGGAAAATGAGGAGTGAATCTGATGGAATGTGGGTGCAAGCTCATGTCTGAGCCTATACTGTGGCACTAGGAACAGCAAAGTGTGCCTACTTCTCTGTTCTTACTGAGTCAACATGTTGCTGTCCAGTAGCCTTGTTCAAGATTGCCTATTCCATTCTGAAGAACACTGAGCAGGAATAACTACGCCCTGGCTGCTATGGTCACTTAGTGCACTATTTTGCTGGCAAAGTTGCTCAGATTCACTGTAATCTGGACTCTTCAGAATCTGATGTAGTATCTGGAATAACATTCTGCAATTTTATTTGGGATTCTTTTTGGTCTGTGGACTCTGGTGAAGTGGAGAGGGTGCTCTCTAGTATGACTTCTGCCACTGGCAGCCTCAAACCATATCCTTCTTGGTTTCTTCAAGGAGGCATGATGAGTTTGATCCAGGGAATAGTCAAAGTTTTGTTGGGAGAGATAGTATTTCCATTAACCTTGAAGGAGGTGGCCTCAAAAAGCCATTCATGGGCCTACACAACTTAAGCAACTAGTGCCCAGTTTCCAATTTTTACTTTCTTAAAGAGTCTTTGAAGACGGCTGGTGTGGGTCTTCCGGGCTGTGTGGCCGTGTTCTTGAAGTTTTGTTTCCTAACGTT